CCCTACTGCTACAGTGTAGTGGAGCTTTGGGAGTTGTATCCACAATTACATCAATATTATGTTGCGGAACTTATTCGGGCTCTGCGGCTTCCACCATTTCTCGGAACTCTTGTAGGAAAGCGACCAGATCCCTCTGATATTAGAGTGTTTACAATGACAATTTCACCCATTGCCGCCATGGAAGATTGTTTTAAACGTAGTGCACTGCATATGATCAGTGACATAGTAGTGGATGCTGGAGAATACGTGTTGGAAAAAAATATTCCTGCAGCCAAACGAACAGAAAGGCATTCTTCCAGTTTAACCTCACGTGTGGTAACGCATGTAACGCTGATGGTATTTAAAGTTGGCGGTGCGGCGGCAGGGCGTGCGGTTGGTGGAGCCCGCGGGGAATATTGGGGTGAAATCATTGGCTGCACAGTGGCGCCATTGGCTCATCTGCAGGCGAAGGTACTGATGCGTACGGTGTGGCCGCGATTGAGTGGATCTTCACATCGCTCATCACGCCCCACTCGCAGTGTCTTTGGTAGCAGTAAAGAGGGGGATAAGTTGAGAGGTTCTTCTCGACGGTCACACTAAAGAGAAAGAAAGAGAGAGAAAGAGAATGAGAGAGAGAGAGAGATGGATTAGATAGATGATATGATGGAATGGGAGTGAAGGAAAGGAAAGATGGGAAGAAGGGAAATCTTCTTCTTCTTCTGGAGAAACTTATGAAAATACATTTAGCAAACGCAAAGAGGCTTTAACGATGAAAATGGGGAAAGAGAAAGAAAAAGAAAAAAAAAAGGCAGAGTAGTATGACGACATTATTTGTATTGAGGGGAACTGTAACTGCGGTATTTTCTTATATTTATTTATATCCTATACATTTGTTTGCCTGGCTCTCTCACTGTAATATGTGAGAATAAGGCTTGACCAGCACAAGAAAAGAATGACCTCAAATAGATGGATATAAAACTACGGATAGTTTGTATGCTACATTAAAATATTGTCAGTCATATTGTTAATGCTAGTAGCCCTAATGTATTGTTCTGTAGTTGCATTCTAGTTCTTTTTCTTTATTTTTTTCTCTTATATGTATATATATGTTTTTTTCCTTTTTTTCTTGTTGTTCTTTCTCCTTGTAAGAAGAAGAAAAAGGTAGACGTATTGGTGATATATATATATATATATAGATCACTACAGACATTATCAGAAGTGGGTTTAAAGGTTAAGGGAGACTGCAGGAATTATGCAGGAAAAAATGTATTCTGATGAAATCTTGCAAAAGCCAAAAACACTTAAAAAAGTAAAACGCTTAAAACACAAATCCGCAAGACATCAAGAAAAAAATCTGGACGCTTTTTATTTGATAAATGAGAATGTTCGTACAGCACGAGAAATTAGTTCAACCATCTGTTCTTCTTTACCTTCGGATCATGATATTAATATGAAAGATAATGTTGGATATACTAAATATCATGATACATCTGCACAGCAAGATAATAATAATGATAATAATAGTAATAATATTGAATTATTAAATTCAATACAGCGGAGTTCCCCATCACCTTTTATCGAATGTACACTGATCACAACACCTCCTACGGAAGAGGTATTTCAGCATGATGGAAACACGGACGTACAAATAACGACAGGGGTTACAGAGACAGCTGCTACTGTTATGACAAGAATAGTTTGTAGTGAACACTCTGAAACCACTTCTCTTTTAATATTATCGACAGATTCATTATCGTTAACAGGTATTGAGTTACAAAATGATG